TAATTCAAATGATTAGAGAATTATGTATATTAATACATTGTTGCCCCAATATCTAATATCTAATTACGCTTTTAATATCTAATCTATTATATATCAAAACATTAAACTAAATTGATTAATATATAATATTCATGTTAATGGAATACTCTGTTATAAATTAGGCGCCAAAAGGGAAAGGAATCCTCTTAAGAGAAAAATTCTCCTAAAGATTAATATCAGATGTTCCTTATTTATAAAACTGTAGATAAAATGGGATTTATTTTTACATTGACGAAAAAGTTTATATTATTTTAGAACACTCAGGCAAATACAACTCTCTTATTTCGATGTTGCGAAATTATTTACAAATAATTAGCTAGATTTTAATGTAAAATAGAGAAAAACGAAACGTACTCCGATATAAAATTACGATAATAATTTTCTGCGGATGTGCATTTTTTATTTATTTGATTTATTTGTGTCTTCAACGCGGTTCCAAGTAAAAAATAGCCAATAACGATCGACCACATTATTTCCGATTTCGACCTGGCTGAATCGAGGCTTTAGTTTATTGGAAAGTCAAACTGCAATACATTAAAATGCAGATATCGTAAAAGTTGTATAACAAATACAATTTAATCTGCCGATATCACCCAGGGGGAAAAAGGGGGGGGAGGGACGTATGCAACGTAATTCCGGGGGTTTAACCCCGGATTTCCGGAGCTGCTGTGCAGCTTTCGGGTATTAGCTTTTAATATCGCAGTTAACTGCAAGTTAACTTTGCAACTTCGGAGGGAAACTTGGCGAATCGGCAACTGCCAAAGTCGTGAATAGAGGAAACGACGCCTCAACACCGTACTTAATACTTTATGGACGAGATAAAATTGGCACGCACTCGAGTTTATACTTATCAGCAATCCCTCCGCGAGCGATGGATTTGTTGACTAATTTCATTAGGAAACACTCCTCAGCGAGCGCTCAAAAGGAGCCGAGCCTTCCAAGTTTCGAAGCTGCGTGTCTGTAATTAAATGGCACACAGCAGCAGATATATATTACTTCCCGTAACTAATGTACCGGGATCAATTCTAGTAATGCGCTCCGGGTGGAGAAAGAAAGAGGAGACCACGAGGAGAAGAAAAATTGCTCTATCGGTTATCCGAATCGACCAGGCAAGACGAACCAATTCCGGCTCAATTAAATCATCGGCAAATTCTTCATTTTATTTTATGTACTTCTTTATCCACTTGGGAAAGATTTTCTTAAATGTGACGGAACCTACGCGACCGTCGATTGTAATTAGCAAAATGTAGAAGATCGTCGTCTCTTATAATTTACCAAATGTAAAAAAAAATAAAAATAATCTCTAAAACTTAAAATCTCAAATACAAAAATTTTAATAATCTTAATTTAAGATTGCTTTATTTGTCTATATAATTTCCTTTAATTAAATCATCGGGAAACGGACCGTCGATTGTAATTAGCAAAATGTAGAAGATCGTCGTCTCTTATAATTTACCAAATGTAAAAAAAAAAAAAAATAATCTCTAAAGCTTAAAATCTCAAATATAAAATTTTAAGTCTTAATTTAAGATTGCTTTATTTGTCTATATAATTTTCTTTAATTAAATCATCGGGAAATTCTTCATTTTATTTTATGTACTTTTTTTATCCACTTGGGAAGGATTTTCTGAAATGCGATCGTCGATTGTAATTATCAAAAAATGTGAAAGAATTTTTCTTATAATTTACTAAATGTAAAAAAAATGTTAAAGTTTAAAACTTCAAATTGTGATATAATTTTTCGTTCATAAATAATTTCAAATTATGTAAAAATTATAACAATTTCGAATTTAAGATCGTCTATATAATTTCCTTTAATTAAATCATCGGGAAATTCTTCATTTTATTTTATGTACTTTTTTATCCGCTTGGGAAGGATTTTCTGAAATGTCACGGAAGCTACGCGACCGTCGATTGTAATTATCAAAATGTAAAAGATCATTGGTTCTCATAATTTATCAAATGTAAAGAAAAAATCTCTAAAGCCTAAAATCTCAAATATGGAAATTCTAACATTTTTAATTTAAGATTGTTTTATTTGTCATTTCGTTCAATTAAATTATCGGGAACAGGTCAGTTGTATATTATTAAAATGTAAAAGATCGTCGTTTCTCATAATTTACCTGATGTAAAAAAAAATTCTGTCAAATTAAAAATCTCAAATCGCGATATAATATGTTTTCCTACGAATAATTCCAGATCATATGAAAATTATAAGGATCTCGACATTAAGGTTGCCGCATTTGTCTATATATAATCCCGTATAAAATCTAGGAATATCCGCTTTTCGCAAATTGCTTCCGAAGTTCCTTTGACACGATTACGAATAACCCCTCTAATTTGCCGTAAAGAGGCAAAGCGGCATATCTTTGACTGAGGCGCATACATCTAACCGCAGAATTTAATCCCCCACCCTGTAATACTGTAATCCTGTCATCCCCGATTATGACAATGAAGTATCAGTTGTGCCGGGGTCCCGTGAGTCCTCTCTTACCCGCTTGAAATCGATCGATCTTCATTTTCACGGAAAGGCGCGAGAAGCCGAAGCGGCGGAAGTTGCGATTCGCGGATACACGAGCGTGAATGACGGCAACGCGCAGCCCGGGGTCGTTTTCAAGATTGATGCGATAGGCTAAATTAACAGGATGCTCGAATTAATCCTTTCTAAATAACCCCGAGTCATCTATCTTGCCAGCCCGGCGGAAACTGCTCTGGCGACTTAACGCGCTCGCTGGGTTTCCGCGGGGCAATAGAGAATTCATGAAACGCACCCTTGGTCCTTGGGCTCCCGAAACTTTGTGGAGGTCCTTACCTCGTTAAATATATGTATGATAATCTCTTGTAGAATATACGTTTTCATATGTTGGAAAATTAGCGAGAAGTCGCAAGATAGGTGAACGTGGAAGTGTATTATCTCATCATCTCTTATATGCAACGTATTATTTTGCCATATTTATTCAATCTGTCAAAAATATGTATATATGTACTTATTCTTATTTTTATTTTATTTTGTTTTAATTTTTAACATATATATATATATATATATACATATATACATATTTTTGACAGATTGAATAAATATGGCAAAATAATACGTTGCATATAAGAGATGATGAAATAATACACTTCCACGTATACTATATATATATACTTTATTAAATATTTATTATAACTTATATATATATGTTCAACAAAGATCTCCTTTCACGAATCAAGTGTAAAATAAAATTTAAATAAAAATAAAAAGGATGGTTATATTATATTTGTTGTAGCACAAAGCGTTGAGAATCAAAGGGGAGAACAATAGAGATCTAATTAATGCGTAATCGCATCAGAGGGGTACAAGCAGCGGTCAGTCAATAGTCGCAATTTACACCATCAGCTGATTGTATCTAATGGTAGCATTCTGTCGGCGTTGGCCGACTTGATAGCTTCGAACTAGAACGACTCGATAAATTGGCTTCATTCCTGACGGACCCGGTATGCGGTTCACATGAAAATTGCTCGGTCTAGCAGCGTTCTTACGTATTAATGGGGTCGCCGTTTCGCGAAATATCATTGTCACTTGGAGACTGACGGAAAACGGGAATTAGTGATGAGAGAGATTAGTATGCGGGATAATAATAGTCGGCTAAATATATACGCTTCCTCGGGATGTCGTCTTGGTGAGGCGGCATCGAGCTTGGTGGACAATTTGTCTTCACCCCAGCCCCTTTATTGCCCCCTTTTCCTCCCCCTGAAATCTTAGAGAGTTGCAACAGGTGTTCTCCATGTTCCACAATGCGGATACCGAAGAACTAATTTCTTAGCGGCCATGTTATTCTAATGCGCGCGATCATTTTTCTCACTCGCGCATGCACACATGCATGCTGTGTAAAACGATGTCTCTGGTAGATTATTATAAAAATTCTCGGTTCTATATATATAGAGTCCAGTCTATTTTAAATCACGCATTGCTATTGTTCGAGAAAAAAAAGCTTTCATAATTTTCTTACATAAATCGATTCCTTGTATATTTAGAAAAAATATTGTTAGAATGGAATGATTGAAAAATGAATGATTTAACGAGATATACTTCATTCTGACAGTTTGTTTGAAAAAAAATATGAAATATTTCTGCATTGAATAACGAGATTTGATCTATTGTTCGAGAACCAAAGCTTTCATAATTTTCTTACATAAATCGATTCCTTGTATATTTAGAAAAAAAATTGTTAGAATGGAATGATTGAAAAATGAATGATTTACGAGATATACTTCATTCTGACAGTTTGTTTGAAAAAAAAAATGAAATATTTCTGCATTGAATAACGAGATTTGGTCTATTGTTCGAGAACCAAAGCTTTCATAATTTTCTTACATAAATCGATTTCTTGTATATTTAGAAAGAAATTGTTAGAATAGAATAGTTGAAAAATGAATGGATTGCGAGATATATTTCATTTTGACATCTTTTGTTAAAAAAAAAAAAAAAAAAAAAAAAAATGAAATATTTCTGCATTGAATACTGAGATAAATTTTAATCTAAAAAACATATTCTTTTTGTGATTAAAAAAATTTGCAACTTGCAATATGTAATTGTATATTTAAAAAAAAATAACTACATTTTCTTTTATACTAATTAATTTATCTCATTAGTCTATGCAAAAAATAATTAAAGTTGGATTATTAAAAAATGAGCATATTACGAGATATCTCATATTTTCTTTTTTTCGGAATGTGTCAGAGAATGAAACATAAAATATTTCGTATTTAGTACATGATATATGAAACATTTTTCGATGGTTTTCAAAAAATAGCAGTATGTCATTTAAAATATAGAACACCTTACATATAAAATAAGGAAAGATAATGTTTTAAAAATTAGTTTTATGATTATTCGCGAAAAAGTCACGAGAGTAGATCTCTCAAATTTACACACTGAATATTTAGAAAAAAAAATTTCTCTTTCTGTTTTGCAGATATTACTTGGCAACTTCGAAACGCGACTCAGCGGTTCAGCATTTATATAGAGTGTCGTTGTTAGATATGGACCACAAGTCGGTGTGTTTAACTTGTAACATTGTCAGAGAGAAGGACGGCAGTCGGTGTTTGTACAACAGCGCTACATTCTCCACTGACAATTCGCATTACGTGCTCACTTGTGCTGGACCTGGAGTACCCGACATAAGCATCTACAATAAGGTATGTTCCATCCATGTATTTTCATGACTATTTGCGTAGCAGTTTTTAAGATCTTAGAGATCTTGAACCATTTTCTTTGCAAGGCTAACATTTTTCGATGTCGAATTTTCCGATATTTCCATATTTTTGTATTTAATAATGAATATTATATTATACATAATATTAATATATTATTAATTACAGAATTTTATAATTATATTAATATTATAATAAATTAGAATAATATATTTTTCGTATTATAAAATTTAAAGATAAATAGTATGCATAAAAGGTGTTTAGAATATATTCCAACTTGAAAATACTTAATATATTCCATTAAAGATAATAATAAGGGCACGTAATAATACGTCAGATGAAATCCGTAATTTAACAAGCTAAGAGAGCAAGTAGATCCATATACCCATCTTGCTATTAATTTCAATTTCGGATCCAATGTTATTACAGCGCGTTTGATACGTTCCATTAATCATTAGGTCGTCGAAGTTTCAACAAATTTGATCCTATCCAAATATGGAGCACGAGCGTTCTCGTATCTACATACATATATGCATTCTAGGCGAAATTCCTTTTGCCCTGCAACGCAGTCGCGCAAATTGTTACATTATCCCGTGGAAACCGCGAGCATAATGATCTTTTCGCGATCGCGTGCCCTCGCGCGTATTTGCATGTGATATAGACGTATGGATGACAGCCGCGTAATTCTGCTGGTGAGAGGTACATGGGGTCCCCTATCAGACCGCGGAATCGAATAAATTCTGTTACAGCAATAGAATACCCCACGTACTATGTACGGTTTAGTCCCCGGCACTGCACTGCGAGTAATATACGGCTTGCACAACGCATTCTCCCTCTCTTCCTCTCTCTCTCTTTCTCGTATGTATATATATATATATATATATATGTATATATATATATACAAAGCTCGTCCTCGAAATTCCGCGCGCGAAACACATTGCGTTCGCGATACTATTCGCTCTCGGCCTAATCGGATCGGAATCACGCCGAGACAGATTATCGCGACGCTGTTACCGGCTTCGTAAAAAAAAAAGCGTAAAAAAATGCGACAATGCGCGTAGTTGTGCGTTTGCACAATGGTTTGCACCGGGGCGTAATAACGATACATTAAACTGCTAGAGTGCTCTCTGCTCGGTATAAATATTTTCCTCGTATTGTTTTCAAATTCGTTTCCGCACCGCGCGTATGTATATATATATATATGTACGTATATGTAGGAAGGAGAGGATATTATAAGCGCAGAACTAAAAGGTCATTTATTCATCGAACGTGTTGTGTGACACTCTCGTTTGTTATGCGCGTTCGATTGTGAAATAATAAATTGCATAGCGATTGAATATAAAGTCATTTTTTAAATGCACTCTTATATAGAGGGTTAAATTATTGTATTATGTCGAATTTTTGTATTTTGAAAAGGAAGAGTGATAAGAGCCGTTAAAATTTTTCATCATCTGACCACGAGCTTATTTTTTTCATTCGCGTCACATTTTTTGGATCAATTTTTAATTACGTAAATTAAATATTGTTGAAAGAAATTCGGTGCAATCACATAAAAAAGATAATAGATATCGATTCCCAAACGTTGCGTATAAATTTATCAAGTTATATAATGAACAAAATGTATGAGGTGAAATACAATTTATAATTTATTAATTACGCCTCTCGTGAAGCAGTTTGATAAAAAAAAGGTTATTTTGACATTAAAAGATTACGCAATTAAAATCGTGCATCGTTTAAATCTCTAAATAAATTTGAAATTTTATCAAAATTATAATTATATACAAGATATTTAATATTAAATATTGAAAATATTAATATTAAATATTGTAAATATTTTGACGAATATAAAAATTTTTTAATGTAATATTCAGATATGAAAATACATATCTTTGTTATCTTATAATTGGATACGTAAAGGTTCATGTGAAACAAAACAACAATTTTATTTTCTATTCACTCAAAATGCATTTATATTGCGATATCGTTTTTACAATTACCTTCTTGATACTAATCTTATTAATTATGCTTTAACGCGGATGAAAGAATATTTATGAAAGCATCAACACGGGGAGAAAAAAATGTTTTAATGCAGAAAATTAAAATTTACATACGTGCATAATCGAGGCAATATGTGTTGTAATATTAAATAATTTGTTATATGTATAATAGTTTCTCGCGAAATAATCCTAATTTCGCATACACGTGGCTTTATTTGCATTATTTAATTGATTCTCCATTTATTTTCGAATCGCAATACCCATCATCGTGATGTGGATGAAGTAGAGTTCATTTTAATAAATTACGATTAGCAAGGTTCGTCCATTAACAACAATCCGACATTGAAATCTACCGTTATTCAAATGCATAAACATAAAACTTCATTAACTCATATTAATGCAAACGCACGTTCATTTCTCATTCCTACATATATTACAAGCTCTAATTATTGGCCTCTGAATGTATGAATTCCGACAAGTTCGTATTCAGCGGTGAGTTTATTAGCAAAACGCGTGTTACAGCAATGTTTTGAATGCGAGTTGTTATCTTATAAAATATTACGTGCATCTCTCGTTTTCTTTTCTGTCATTCAACCGACTATCTCGATATCGCAAAAAAATTCTAGATACTTTTTTATTATCTATATTTTTTTGTTCAAAATATTCACAATAATCTTTCAAATCTAGATTTTTTGTAAATAAATCGATAATAATGAGTGAGTAATATAAAAATACATCAATTATTTATTATGGATACAGCAGCGTTTGAAAAAAAAGCAGGACGAGAAGTCTTCGTATTTAAATTGCATAAAATACTTGACATATACTTAAATTAAGCACATGCACAGTTGGAAAAAAAATTATTATAAATTCATATCTTTCTCGAAGATAAACAACTGCATCTCTACTATTATTGCTCTCATATCTTTCTCATGAATCGATCTAAAAATGACTTGAGGATTTGAATATATTCAAGAGGAAGCTCTTTTCCTCTCTTCCCACAGTCTATCTATAATCTATCCGTCCATTTGCTTATTCGCCCGCCATTCTCGGAAGAAAAAGTTTGCGATTGAATGAAAGTTTCATTACTTTCGATAATCAAACTCTCCTTCGTCGAATTTAAATGCTGACAGACAGGTCGAATCGTCGCAAATTGTACGAGAAGTGCGGACAAAAACAATTGCAGATTCATGTATCAAGAGAGAACTCGTATTGGTAATTAAATTAATTGACAAACTTTAAAGTATTCACGACGATCGAATTTACAAACAAGAATATAAAGATGATCCCTTCCCTCTTTTATTTTGATATTTTAAAATAAAATCCTATATATTTAGAAATGTCAAATGTTTCGATTCATCGAATTAATAATTAACAAACTTGAAGAGGAGAAAAATAATTTTATTTTCCATTTATTTCGATGTTTTTCATGGTATATATATTATATTACAAAGATGTATAAAGAAGAAAAAAAGAGAACTATATTGGACTTTTAGATTATATATATATTACGTTTAAAAATATCTTTGAAATATTTTGATTCGAATTAACAATTAACAAACTTAAAAAATTCACGATAATTAAATCCATGAAAATAAAAATATGGATAGTACATTTTCCCTTCTATGCAATATGTATTAGATAGATTCAAGTTCATATAAATATACAGTAAGAGAAAAATAACTTTATTTTCTTTTTATTTATTTTTGCATAAAATGTAAACTATATTCGCAAAATGATATAGAAAAAAGGAGAGGAAGAGCTATATTGGATCTTTAATTTATATCGCGCTTAGAAACGTCTTTGAAATGTTCTTCGATTCACCAAAGAATAAATAAAAGGTACGTTCGATATGCATCGAGCGATTCCCTTGTAATCTGATTATCGTAGCGACAGACGCGGACTTGAAGGAGAAGTCATTGAACTTCGAAAACGACTAACGTAAGATGTCAGGTACGGAATCTACGTGCTTTATCACGATCGACGGAGCGAAGAGAGAGAGAGAGAGAGATCTAGAAGCAAGAGGAAACTTGAGCGAAAATCTGACTATCCGGGGCGCCTTTATCCCTTATTTTCGCGCGACCGCTTAATGCTGATAATTGGTCTTCTCGCTCGGGAAACCGTCGACAATGAACATTAATCCAATTACGTTAAAGAGCGACCTTGCGCCGATGAAATTCGCGCTTTTATACCGCGCGAATCGATCTGCTGAAGCTTCCGTTCGACTCTGGCCGTTTTCAATTAGCGCCAGGATAAATTCCTGCATTTCTCTCTTTTGCTTCGTGTTACGTCTACATCGACTAATTATAAAAAAATCAATAAATGCGTTTGAAGGATTATACAGGAGAGGACTGCGTTTTAATTATATACCGCTCGACTGATAGCATTTAATTGTAAGTCTTATTGATCAATTTCTTAAAAATAAAACGGTAAACTTTTTATTAACATTTAAAAAATTTTTTTATTGCATTTGCAATTTTTTACGTTATTTTAACGAAAGAATACATATTAGACTTATCTATTTTATTTCAAAACTAAAGAATGGAAGACTCTATGAATAAATATTTTCTTTTATAAAATAATAACATAAATTATTATATTCCATTTTATTTAATTTGGAAATTTATTTTGGAAGCACGCGCGCATCGCGTTACTGAATTTATAAAATATCTTATTGCATAGAATATTTTCAATAAAAGTGTAAGATTATACTATAACGGTGCGTGTATTTTTAATCCAATTTGTGTCGAAACTAATAGAGTAATTTCTTGTACGTGGATATTGCACGTGCATGCACGAAGCTCGCAAACACGCGCAAAATCCTCTCTGGAATCCCTTTGCTCTCTCATCTTCGCCGTACTCTGATATGATTTATGGTGTACTTTTGGATACCGATCCAATTACGTCGATATTATGATATTGGCATTATCGAAATTTACAAAAGGCTCTAAGTGATACCAATTGAACGTGTTTAACTTTTCGATATTCTACTTCACCATTTTCCATTTATCAAAGCGATTCTCTTCTCATCGCGTGGTCATAAATTTATTAACCATAGCGAGATTATAATTTAAGATCAAATTTTTTTTAACTTGTATATATATTGATAATTGGATTGTACATATATCAATCTTGTAATAATTATTTTAAAATTATTTTTACAGTATTTTGAAAACATTTAAAAAAATTATTAATTAAAAATATACAAGAGACTAAACAAAAATACGATTAAATTTTATTTTCCTCTTTACAAGCTTCTAATATTCCTTATTAAATGTCTCGAGAAATAAAAAGTTAAGTATCAATTTAATTTAAAAATTTGACTGCAGAACAATTTTTTATAAATATACCTGAAAAAGCAAACATTACTTTTCCTTATTTTACGATATTTTTTCTACCTTTCAGAGAGCTAAAATAAGCGTTAAAAAGAGGAGAGTTGCTTTGTCGCTCTCTCTCTTTCTTCTTCGGATTTCCTCTCAAATTTTATCAATTTACATCACGCAAGCACTTGCAGCCAGCCTCTACCGAGGCGGCAAAAAAAAAAAGATATCGATCGAAAATCGATACCGCCGCGTCATATTGCGCGAGATTCTCTCTCTCTCTCTCTCTCTCCTCCCTGCACACAAAAGCCGGAAATGCTCGGCGTCGGATCGCCTGTCATTCACTCGAAGAAACTTCGGAGGGGTGAAAATGCGCGGGAGAGATTCCGCGTTTGAGAAAAAGTTCTCGCCGCGATGCAAAAATGTTCGAGCGGGGATTCATCCTTCGAATCTCGATCTCTCGATCTCGAGTGCACCCCCGGACTCACAAAAGCGCGCAGATTGCGCGCTACATTTGCCCCGATCTATCCTATCCCTCTCGCCGAGAAAGAGAGGCCATAGAATTCGCGCGGGTAAACTCCGACGCGCAAAAACGACGGAAACCGACGAACTTCGGCGACGCCCTTCGTCGGAGCATTGGCTCGGTTCTAATGCAATTTTTTTGCCCGAAGTATACCGCGAACCTTCTTTCCCTCACGCGTCGAAAAGGAAAAAAAAAAGGAAGAAACTTCGAACAACTACTTACAAAAGTAGTCGCCCTTTGAACCGAATCGATTCCGATTGGCGAACCTGTTAAGGGGGATGTCGACTGAAGTTGCGAAGGACTTTAGGGAAAGCAAACCGTTAAACGTTCTTCTACTCTTACTTCAACTTCGCCCCCTTAAGTTTGCGATGTCCCTGTGTATTCACGGTGCATTTATTCCTCCGTTTTTCGGTGTAATCTGTTATGGTTATAGCGGCGTCAGAATTAGGAAACGCTCGGCAATTGATGGCCCGAGATGAGGAAGAAAGATGAACGTAAAATCGAGCGTTAAGAAGATAAATAGTGCTCCTATTAAGATAAACGCCGTTAATTCGTCTCTATAAAGACATATAAATATATGTCTAAATTTTATATATTATAAGTTTAATTATATGCATTAAAAAATTACATACATGTAATAGTAAATAAAAAATGTAGACAAGCATAAATATATAATATATATAAATAAAAAATATATATTTCTCTATAAAGACATATAAAATATGTCTAAATTTTATATATTACAAGTTTAATTATATGCATTAAAAATTACATACATGTAATAGTAAATAAAAAAATGTAGACGAGCGTAAATATATAATATATATATATAAAAAATATATATTTATATATAATATATATTTGTGTATAAAATGATTTTTATAAATCTTGGCGTTACGACGCCATTTGAGACTATCTAGTACATTAAAGGAGCACTTTTTCGTTTTCAGAATTTTACGTTGCTCTCCGTGTGGGAGGACAACGACGTGGTAACTGAGATAATAGACGAAAGATCGCAACCGATCGTTCAGAGATACAAAGTTCCAGTTCCTGGTGGCTTTAACGCCCAGGTGAGGCTGCTGATACCACCCGGTGCTGATTTGAGCGGTGCCACCAAGTATCCCATGCTGGTTTATGTGTAAGTTCTTTAATTTTTCCAATGAACACACACACACACAAATCTCTTTCTAATAAGGGAACGCGAGAGCAGTGTAATTGCTCTCACTCTTTGAAGAATTAAAATTTTTCGTTACAGTAAGAGCGATATACCATTACATAAAAATATCTAACGTGCAAAATATTTTCTGTAAAGAATATTAATTTATTAACATTATATATAATATATTACTTTATTTTTATATATATATATATAATAAAAATAAATAAATATTAATAAATTTGTACACATACATTTTTGAATATATATAATTTTATATAAATTTAATCTCTCATCTAAAATTAAGATAAACATTTTAAGATTACGTGCATCGTGTACGGAATTTTTTGTGCCCGTGATTAAATTAACATTTTTCAAAATATTAGAGCTCTTGATTGTTGAACCTCGTGACTAATAAAATAGATTAGAGGCACGTGTATTCTGGCAAATTGTCATGCCGGGCCACAATAGCGCTTTCTAACTACGAACCGAGTTCTTACATTTATACGTCGCTTTTCGACGTCTCTCTCTCTCTCTCCCTCGGCGTTCACTTAAAAGCATCCATATTTTCCGCCGGAGAGCGACAAGAAATGTGACAACGCACTCCGCGGGCATCATCAATCGGTTCTGACATAATGCACCCGCGAGATAAGCGTAATGGAGAGAGAGAGAGAGAGAGAGAGAGAGAGAGAGAGAGAGAGAGAGAGAGAGAGAGAGAGGCGATGACGAACGTGCAGCAGAGGAACGCAATCTGCACCGTGACGTGAAAACGAAGCTCTCCTTTACGTGGGCTGAATTAGGACGGGATGTAAAACCACACGAAGCGATGAGTCATTTCGTATTCAGTCTCACGAACGAAAACTTGAACGCGGGCTTCCTCGATAAAAGCGGGGGAAACGCGTTATCGATTCTCCTCCTCCCTACTCTCGTCTATAATCATATTAATGAAAAGTATCGTCGAAGTGATATACGTCGTTTTCTTTATTTTCCCCGTCGAAAAAGATAATTCGAAATCGATAGATCGAGAGCGAGCTTTTTCGCGTTCCTCTCCCGGTTAAAAAAAGCACGTGTATATGCACGAGAATGACATCGCTCTGGCAAAGCACGATCTAGCTCGCTCCAGAGAGGCCGATATAACTTTCCGGTATAAATTCTAATAACACCTAATTTGTAGGTCCTGGCCGAGCCGGAAACTTTTGAAAGTACAAAGAGTTTATAGTAGAAGTTGTGTGTGCCACACGATGTCCGTTCCTAAAGTGCAAGTTTTCGCGTTATATATCATTAGTGGATAGAAGAAAAATGATAATACGAAAAATATGTTTAAAAATTCCTCTTTGCTTAAGAGAATCAAAAATAAACATAATAATAAAAATTTTAATATTTAATTGTAATACATATTTAATAGATGTGCAAAATGTCAAAAATTATTCAACATCCAGGAATCTTAAAAAATTTCTATATTATTTCACAGTAATATTTTTTAGATGACTGTAATTTATTTGAAAAAAATTGTCAAATGTCAGGATCGATTTACGATTAATCCCATTTTTTGTTAAAAGAAAAAATCTATGGGAGCTTTAGGAATATCAAAGCTTAATTTGCCACAATTATTTTTTAAAATCCCATTTTAGTGATTTTAAAAATCCTATTTTAGAAATATTAATACTTTCAATAGATTTTTCTTATACATGACAGTTCACGGATAATTCACATATGTACATACTACTAGATATAGAATTTTAGCGACTACGAAAATTCAGTGAAAGCAACGCAACTAAAAGCTAGACTCTCGTGTAGAGAGGAGCTATTTGAGTGAACGCGTCTCGTTTGCTTGACGATGGCGAGTAAAGAGAAGTTTGAGTCCCCGTTCGCTTTATAGTCAAGTAATTGTACTGTCTTCCTGTTCGAGGCGATATATTGGATCGCGCCGACTTTTCACATATCACATGTATTCCCTGCTCTCTCTCTAGTTTTCCTAGTCTGATGAAATTCCTACGTCTAGATTATCGATCGCGATGTCGTTCGCATTGTACGAATCGGTGTTGCCGGAATAAATTTTATCAATGCAGCTGGAATAAATCATCAAGCTCGTCGCAAAAAAATTTACTTTATCCTAAATGAATATCTCTTTTTATCTCGTTAACGAAGGATATTTTATTTTATTTTGAGTAAGTAATTTCTAAAAAAAATTTTACAACTACTAACTCAGAAAAGTTATGTCGACACTAATGTTAATGTATATCTCGTATTATTTTAGTGGCATAAGTTAAATAATAACCCTTTCTATATCTGAATTTGAAAAATAATTTCTTAAAAATTAGATTGTGTACGAGAAAAAAGTTTTCTTTCTTCTCTTTTCTTTTTGTTTATCCTTATTTTTAAATATACGACAGTGGCGATTTGAATACGTAATTTAAAGACATCAGTACTTTATTTTCACGTGTTTCTGCACTCAATGAGTTTTCCATGTAAGCTCCACATGATAAACTCGCGATATCAGTCTCCGATAAAACAACATTAGCACGATGGAAAGTACGGCTCGATATATCGCTTTTCTCTGCAATGAAATCCCTATATATTCTCCTTTTTACGCAGTTCGCTTTAGTATAACGACCTGAAGTATATTGTTACTTGATTATATGTCGCTATTTACGGACAAAGCAACACATAACATTATTTAAATTGATATTTCTTAAAGCCAACAACATTTGTTTTAGTAATTTACACGGATTGGTAATAAAAATAAAATAATACACAACTTTTTATTTAAACAAAATATGACGACTCTATATTAAATTAGAAAAATTATTTGCAGCATCGATTTTAATTATATTCATTATTTGTAGAATATTATAATGCTCGCGAAAAATTTTTCATTAAGATTCTTAAAAAAAAAAAAAAAAACGTAAAGATGAACGAACATGTACAGCGGAAATTAATTAAATTAATCGAAGATGTATACTCGCGTATTTTTTTAACGAACCAAAGAAGACTCGATATTCGAAATTTCTCTTTTTTCTTTAGTATTCTTATATTTTTGTCTTACGTTTATTATCCTCTCCCATAAGCCGGGTATCCCATAGAGCGGATCATCGGTTGTCATCGTATGGTCCATTTCGCCTCGATTCGCGCCGTGATGTTTCACGATACTGCCTCGTATCGCCGTCACACCTTCGCATTTATATCACACTATCCGCGGAATTGTTACTATCCGTCTCTATTTTCGCGTTTACTGTTCGGCTATTCGGTGGATACCGTATCAGAAAAGCCATCTTCCTCTCCGCGAACTTCCATTTCCTAATTCTCGCCATCGCCTTCGACTTTCTTTCTCTCCCTTTCTCTCGATGCATTTTCTCATCCTCTCAGGCCTTTCAATCCCTCAAGTGGCACCTGAGATTTCCCGCAAACGACCGTCGAGAGCCATAATGAGCGTGAAAGTCGAGGGAATTGCGCGCTAAACAATCATGAAAGTAGCTGACTACAATCGCTAAATCTGCTACGAGGATTGGATTTTTAACTAAGAGAATGGCCGATTTTTTTCCAGACAATAAGTAAATGTCGCAGCTTTATCATCTTCGATATATTGTAAACAATAATTTTTTATTCTATTATATATAAGATTTTAATACATACATACATATATGTATATAGTATATATATTAATTTATAATATTCATTATATAATATAAATTAATATACAATATTATTACATATATATTATGTAGAAGATTACTATATATTACTCTTTTTTATTTAAGAAAATACAATTAGACAATTATCAAAAAAAATTGGACATAGTCAAGATTGCTAGTATTTTTTATTTTTAATTTGTCCAAACATTAAACGCATATGTATAAAATAAACAAATAAACATATGCGTATAATATTTCAATTTATCATGTAAACTTGTCAAGGAAAAAGCCACGAAATAATGTAACACCTGTAATAATCTATTCGCGTCTTTCCAGGTACGGTGGACCAGACTCGTATCAGGTGACGGAGAAATTTAACATAGATTGGGGCATGTATCTCGTGACGAACAAAAGCATTATATATGCCGCCATCGACGGCCGCGGCTCCGGATTAATGGGCAACGACATGCTGTTCGCTGGATACCGGCATCTCGGTACCGTCGAAATTTTCGATCAGATCAACGTTACCAGGTAAGAGTTCATCATCATAGCAATATAATTTCTTGATTCAAAATTTTCGAGTCTCAAAATTATTCGTGAAAAATGTGGATTACCGAGACTCGTCGAAATCAAATTTATTTCGAACACCTGAGATCTCGAATCTAATAAAAATTAATTTTTATTTTTATTAATTTCAACGTTACCAGGTAAGAAGTTCATCATCATAGCAATATAATTTCTTGATTCAAAATTTTCGAGTCTCAAAATTATTCGTGAAAATGTGGATTACCGAGACTCGTCGAAATCAAATTTATTTCGAACACCTGAGATCTCGAATCTAATAAAAATTAATTTTTATTTTTATTAATTTCAAAAATCTAAATACGTTTCTAATAAAAGTTAAAAGTTTTAATATCTAATATATATTTAAATCTATTTTAAATAAAATTAAAATTGAGCATCAAATTCATATCATCCTTTTCCTTTATACTTTATATAACATTTCCGAATATAAGAACTCTATAGTTTTTCGAGGGAGAGAGAAAAATTCCGCAACGCATTTTTAACATAGTTAAAGTTGCTTCGAATGCCTAGCAGACCTAGCTACTTGTTCATTGACAAAAGAATTAAAGCAGCACAATCACATATATATATAATCCAGGTCATAATCCCGGCGTTGACAGTTCGAGCTTACATTCGTTTACACATGTAAGTCTCATTAACCGGAAATTGCCTCGGACGCGTACCTTAACCGGCGTTAAGAGTAACGAATGAGCCAGACTGGAATCTGCGGTTGGAACAGCTGCTGGGGAGAAAAAGGGACGTCCATCGGCCCTTGAAAGCGTAGCAGGCAAAGTTTTGCTTTAGGACAAACCTAATTACAGGGGGATGGCCACGATCGCGGATGGCTGTCTCTCTCACCTTTCCGAAGTGACTTATCTCGTACCCTCGATCGGGAGAGGCGCAGGATAATCCCGCTAAAACCCCCTAAGTTAACTAATCTAACTCTGCGTATTAGCGTTCACAGAACGCGGGTTTTAACGAAGTTCTTCTTTTCACTGCACCCGTGAACTCGCGGTCCGTGTGTTAACAAGAAGAAAATTGCTCGTACTTTCGTCCGAATTTATCGGCCCTCCGACCCTTCTTCTTCTACTTCTTCTTCTTCTTCCCTTTCACGGCCGAAACCGGAGTCGGGGAAAGAGAGTTCGCGACCTCTCCTCTCGTATTTCCAGCCGAGAGTAATTTATCTCGATGCCGAGAGAGAAAGAAAGGGAGGGAGAGTGAGGGTGAATGGATCGGGTAGCGAGAATTTCGCCACTTATATGCTCGTCCATCTTTGAACCGAAACATCAAACTTCCGGCTATGATGAATAACGCTTATTCCGCTGGCGGGAGAGTCATATTTTAGCGTTTAAGCGACAAAACGAACCGCAACCACGAAGCCGCAAACGTCGACATAGGCTGGCATTTTCGCAAATCTCTCCGCGCGGAATCACTGCGTAATTTGGCTAATAGCAACAAGGCAATATTCGAAATAATAAATCTCGATTAACTAATATTACAACTAATTAAGAGACTCGCGCGGAAAGAGTAATTGGTACGCAAGTTATTGTTTCTTCGTAAAAATAAATATTCCTTTAGATCGATTCGAGAATAAACATTTATTCAAAATAAATATGAATTATTTATATAAAAGTCAATACTTATTCAAATCGGATTTGAATAAATATTTATTTTTTCAAAGAATAATCCGCGTACTAATTACCACGCTTAATTAGCCCATTTATTAGTTGTTTGAAATTTTAACATCCAGTTTCTTGATTTTCTATTCGAAATAAATGACACGATTTAACCCTTGTGTCGATGAACGAATGGTAACCGAGTACCCGAATTAACTTTAAATGTTAAAAATGTTCCAGAACTTTTCTCCGCTCGAAATAACAAAATACAAAGAGCCTTTGTATTCGGAAATGTAAAAAATATAAAGGAAAAGAATGGGTTTGATGCCAGGCAGCTTTAAAAAAATTATCTCAGTCCAATATTTGACACAAATACGCGGTTCATACTCCTAAAATGGATATCTATGTATATTAATTAAATGTAAAACATTTAAAAATTTGACGGTAGATTTCTTTATAAAATTAAAGGAACTTGCTGATTAATTTCGTAGTACACGAATCGAAATATTTGATATAGTATTTTATATATTGTTAAAAAATTATATTAAATGATTGATAAATCAGATAAGAACAGAATTATAATTCTAATTAAAATTAAGAGCTGTTAAGATACTAGTTACAATAAAATATAGATTTAGGAGTAATAAAATTTTAATTTTATTGAAAACGGATTTAAATGTAAAATTGTACAAATTTATAAGTTGAATTTTAATTATATTATGAGCAAGTTGTACGTCATTTTTATTAATTCTAATTTTTAAGAAAAATAGTAACGCAGTAAATATATTGGAAAAATGTATTTAGAGATCAGCACACCCGAGTATTCATGCATTCATGAAAAGATGATAAATTATTGCATTGACAGCTAAATTTAAATGGATGCAGTAGACAAAAATCTATAGCATAAAGTTTGATCAAACTATAACGTGGTATTTTCACATCTTATTGCGAACAGCTCTGAGACCTTCTTACTTTTTTGGGTTTCTCTTAATATTTAATAATAGCAGACATATCTTGCTACAAACTCGCTCTTCTTTCATGTATAGTATATATAGTTCTTAATACTTTTATAATTTTATTATAACTCCCCGACAAGCGATTTTTTTTATCTGTGTCATGATGTGATTTAATCGAGGACGAAGAATAGTTCATCTCTCCCTTTTTATCATAATATTATAACAATTTCACTATACAGAAGAAGAAAATTGAGTTATTTCTCTAAGAATGCCAATCTAATTTTTTCTATAAATAATTGTGTGTGGTGACTTAAAAAAAAAAAAAAACTACGAAACTCTCTATAGGTATATACTTAAATTTAAGTAGAATATCGATCTATCTTTTTTCTGAACCGCAATATTCAGAGGTAAAAAAGACTCGAGAAATATCGGAGAGATATCTTTTGCATATTTTACCAGTATAAATTTAAAAAAGAGAAAAGAGGAAGACCATGTGTTATATATTAAATTATTTGACATTTGTGTCATTTTTTTCTGACGTTTTCCACAAAATTTTTAATGAGAAAAGCTGCAGGTAAAATCTTAGTATTCGGAAATTATTTAAGGCTTCTCGAAAAAAATTCTCCTCTGAGAAATCACACAGTCTCCACGAACAAATACAGCAGGGGCAGAAATGCTCGAAATCACTGTGGAACCGGCGTTCTTTCCTCCTCTGTTGCGATTGTAAGCTGAAACAGACGATGTACGGACACGCGAGAGAACGCAAGTACCTTCCATTCCCTTCTCCTGTATGTATGTACATCGCGATGTTTTGCCGCGGGTCCGGCTCGTAAAAAGCGAGCCACGAAGTTGGACGCGCTCCAAACGATTGCGGAATCGTCCGTCTCCTTTCAACCCCTCTCGGTTTCCCTCTCGGTGCCATTTCCACCCCCGCTGTTGCTGCTCGTTCGACCCTTCTTCGCGAAACCCCTTTTGCGAGCGCGTTTTTGTTCCCTTTGTTCCGTCATGGAATCCAATCGACCGGACTAACCAGCGGTTTCCATGATCGCTTAACTAGTGAATAACGAATATCTACTGTTGATGGGTGTTGAAAATTTGCGGGGACGACACGACACGCTCCTCGTTGGCGTAAATAAACCTTTGAAAGGGGATGATTAACAATAGTTTGCTCCGAGAGAGAAAGAGAGAGAGAGATAGCTCCGTGCAAACGTTTGTAGTTAATTGAAAGAGTGGATGTGGGTAGAATTATAGGGAGAATAGTTAGATACAGAGAAAAGATTCTTTCAGAAAAAAATTTTAATGTACAAAACATTATTTATAAACAGCATCATATAATTTTAATAAATATGTAGCTATTTCGTAATTATTTTGAGAAAAAAATTCTCGGAGCATTTGAAAAATGCAATAACTTTATTTTAAAACTTCTTTATAGTAGTAAAAAATGCAAGATAATTCTGAAAAAAATGTTAACAGAAAACTTTTTGTTGCTGCTTGCATTTTAAAGAAATTTATTTATTTATTATACATTTCCCAAAATGCAAGACGTTGAAAGTTATACAAAATGCATATTTTTATCATATTTGCTCTCGATAAGAATATAATAATAATATTGCAACTTAAAATATGTCATCATCATCCTACAATCGTGATTTAAAGATCTATACTCTACACATTTATTCAATATTCGTTTTTATTGCGCTTCTTGCCAATTTCATTTAATTCCGTGGAAACCTCCCAATGATTTAAGCCCGGATACGCCTTGTATTCACGACTTTATTCGAAGCACCGGAAAAATCCGGCTTTAAATTCGCGCGTTCGTGATCTCCCGTAGCGTTTTTTCGATAAGCAACAAACGATGCAAAGGGCGAGCCAAAGGGCGAAACAAAAGGGGTCATCCGGAATACCATCGTAAGAAAATACGTATTCTAGGCTAGGTGTAACGTATGTGTATTTTCTATTTTGGTGTGTGTGTGTGCGCGCACGCGAGTTGTGCAAAACGAAAGAGGGAATCGCGGGTCCGAGTTTTCTTTCTATCTCTCTTTCTCTGCCTCCTTCTCTCGCCTTTTTCCTCCTTATGAGAAGAAATAGAATTCAGCGTACCGCGCTGGTCGATTTACGAGGTAAATAAATTTCACCGACCGGGGGCAAACAAAATCTGCCGCGCGAGATAGAGAGAGGGTTACCAACATTTCTACGGTATGGACCAAACATAGGTATAGAGTATAGAAAGGGGGCACCCGGGTGATCCCGACGGGGCCATTATTATCGAACACACGAGATGCCAGAGACAATAGTCCGAAGAGATTGGAAGGAAGAAATACGTATTTTCTCTTCCCGCCAGTCTTTCTCTTTTCTTTTTCCATTCAGGAACGAAAGGGGGCAAATTCGCGCAACGCTTCGCGGAACCCTCTCCGGATTTCCGGAAATCATGAGGCAGGACGCGGCACTCGATCTGGCAGAGATCTAAAAAATATATAGGACGCTCCCGTGGGTATCGTCACCGCGCACACTTTTCGCCTGTGGATTCGTCTATCGAATTGCAGCGCATCTTTTTTCTCTGAGGGTAGTGCGATTGAATTTTTCCCTCGCAAAATTTGGTTTTTAATTTGTAGCATCGAGTAATTGAAGAAATAATTATACAGCGGTAGCGTCACACTGCAAAATTGTATTCTAAATTAAATGCAAAATAAGCTTCTTGTCTTTCTCGAAATGTTTCAAAATTTGGTATTTAATTTATTATATCGAATAATTAAATATATATAATGAAGACGCCCTCGGGAAGTAAAATTATTCTAAATTAAATGCAATATAAGCTTTCTTGTCTTTATCGAAATATCCTCTTTTGCAAGCTTTAATTCATTGTATAGAATAATTAAATATAGATATAAATATAATGAAGACGCTGTTGGGGAGCAAAATTATTCGAAATTAAATGCAATACAAACCTTGTCAAATTTGTCGAAATATCCTCGTTTGCAAGATTTTATATATTAGTATTTCCAATATCTCAAAATGTGGCATTTAAATTATTGCATCGAATAATTAAATACATATATAAATAATGAAGACGCCCTCGGGAAGCAAAATTATTCTAAATTAAATGCAATACAAACCTTGTCAAATTTGAAATATCCTCGCTTGCAAGATTTTATATATTATAGTATCTCTAATATCTCAACATTTGGTATTTTATTTATTGTATCGAATAATTAAATGCAAATTTGAAATATTCTTGTTTGTAAATTTTTATATATTAATATTTCCAAATATTTTTTATATTAACAGTACTTTAGAGCATGTTCTTTTTTATATTTGTGAATACAAGAATTACAGATAATATTTTTAATTAGAAAATTTAATAGAAAATATCTTTTTAAAAAAGAAAAACTATTATTTTTACGATGAATGCTCTAAAAAATTCGATCTATGAAAAATTAATTAAAATATAAGATAATACTGAAGAAGAGCTCCATCTTCTCCGATATAATTTTAATTTACAGATTCATGTTTCACATACAAAAATACACAATTATATTGCTACAAAGTTTCGGCAAAATCGAAAAGGATTTTCACAAAATTGTAGTAAAAATCCCGAAATTTAAGTCAAAATCGACGAGACTCACCGTACGATGCACAGCAGCAGAGATTGTTACCTGTAAAATAGAAATACATGTAAATTATATAGTGAAATTTGACTAATTAATTTGATTAATTATTTAATCGAAAAATAAAATTATTTTATCCACATATATTGAGTATATTTAATATAACTTAAATGAAGAATATAATAAAAAATAATAGTAAAATAAAATAAATAATAAATTACCATAATAGTTGTACCATCGTCACCTGGGGCCTCCTCCTCGTAGAAGACGCACTTGCACTTCGAAACACTTCTACTCGCGTTACTTTTTTCCTTCGCGACGCCCGGGTTAAAGCTATCATATTCTTCGACGTGTTTTGACGCGAGAGCTTCTTTGCGCGCGAATAAAACCGATGCTCCGTTTTCGCGTCGCGCTTTTTTCAAGGCTCATTTATATTATCGAACGACGATGACGCCGATATTCGCGAAAATTGGACACTTGTTCACTTCGACCTGGCATTTGTACGATATTAAAATCAGCAATATGGCGGCGCAACCGTAGTCCTACTCGACCCGCGATTTTTACGTAAATTACAAGTTCTATTCGTCGCGCAACGATACTCCGATACGATGACACGGAAGTACGAGCGGAAACGCGCAATGGCCCACTTAGTATACGATCGACAACGTCGAAAAATCCCGTAAATTTTCGCGTCGAGAGCGCCCGGTGAATTGCCGCGATCCGCACTCGTGAAGTCGCGCGCGCGAAGTTGCGGCCGCTCGAGTCGATACTGTGACGTCACGCGCGCGTTCGAGATATCGAACGAGAACGAGATCTCGCGCGCGCAATTACAAACACATAAATTTAACTTGACTAAACTTTTCAACAAAATATTTTGTTAAATATTTTGTTGAATATATAAAACTATTTAAATTAAATATAACATTTTAAATCTAACAAAACGTATATTTGATTTCAATACTAATATATATTTACTTAACAAAATAGTAATTTAATTGAAAGGTTTAGGAGGGGCTAACAAAATTTTTTCTTTCAGTGCATATTTGTGAATGCAAGAATTTAATACATAGATAATAATTGTAATAGAAAAAGTATTTTCAAATTCAAAGAATTAAATTATTATTTACGATTTACTCCAAAAGAATTCGTTTTAAAAATAATTTATTAAAATAGGTTGACAATTGTTGAGATTTCTTGAAAATTTGTAATAATTATAAGTATGCTATTGTAGGAAAATTGCGATTGCCTGACGTGTGATTCGCGAGAGATGATTATGTGCCCTTTAACACGAAGCACACATCGCATGCATAATCGCATGCAAAGTGCACGCGAGATAATGGAGAAAGGGAAGCAGAAATTACAAAGTAATCATCGATTCTTATCGCGCAAAGCGCTCGATTATTCCATGTGCACGCTCTTTTTTAGCGAGAGGTACCGAGTGTCTTTTTTTACGAGCGTTATTATAGTATTTTCCGGTAAAAGAAGGCAATCTCAAATAATATAGCTTTTCTGCGCGATTCTCTTGCTTATACGACGATAAAAGAAGATTTATCATAGCAAAATCAAAGAAATAGATTTCTAAAAAGATGCTTTAAAATGCTAATATAAAAAAATATTTGGAGATATTAATATATAAAAATTTGCAAAAATATAATGTCAATAAATTTGACAAGGCATTTAATGAATTTTGCTCTTTGATAGTGCGGCTTGATTATTTCTTCAATTATTTGATACATTATAAATTAAAGAGATCAAATTTTGAGATTTCGGAAATACTAATAAATAGAAACTTTGTAAACGATAAATTAAAACAATATTTCGATAAATTGGCTTATTTTGCATTTAAATTAAAATTAGTTTTCTAAATATCGTGTTTTAAAATTTATAAGTAGAAAAATATTTTCCCGCAAATATTCTCTCTCTTCTCTTCTTTCTACTACCATTTTTCTTCTAGAAAAGTAATTCGCGATACGAAATGAAATCACTAGATTCCCATTAACATTTTTTTTGTAATATTCATTTATAATAATATAAGCCATCATATATCTTTACTCTCTTCAACATGGTACTTTCAACAAGATTTTATGCCACTTGTAAAAAAAAGTAGCACTTATAAAATACAAGTTTTTTCTTTTTCTTGCAGATACCTGCAGAACGAGTTTTCCTTCATCGACCGTGCAAGAACGGCAATATGGGGTTGGAGTTATGGTGGATACGCGACCGGCATGACACTCGCCATGGATTTAAAGGGTGTCTTCAAGTGCGGCATGTCTGTCGCCCCCGTTACGGATTGGGCTCTCTATGGTGTGTAATACATGGAAAAAAATTAAAATAGTTAAATTTTAACTGTTCCTATATTAAAATCTGAAATTTATTTATCATGCCTAAATTTTAGCTATGATAAAACTAATTTTTAGCTATAGTTTAAGAATTAGCTAAAAATTCTATAGCTAACAAATATTAACTATCGTAGCTAAAATTGAGGTATGATTATTGCATTTTATGTGTAAAATATATAGGGACAGCTAAAATTTAATTATATATGATAGCTATTTTTTCTGTGGTAGAGTAATTAAAATCGAATCGGTGATATACAACTGACGATTTATTTCACAATAACGTTTAAAGTTTTCTTTTAAAAAAAATTATTATAATTTGATACCGCAAATCGGGATTATTTTGTGAGAACACAGAGACAATTCCTCCTTCATTATTTACTAAAACTTGCTTAATGCAGTCTGTTTTAATGACGGCAAAATAAAAGGAGAGAGGATTCTTAATAAACAACTGTGAAACAAAAGCCGCGCCGCGTCATGAAGTTACTATTCTTCTTTTCTCATAAAGCAATCCCTGGTTTACGATAACATAAAAGCCGGAAAACTTTTCTATCAACAAGTGGTTGGATTTTCGTAGCGTTAAGGCTAGAAAAAGAGCTTTCGAGTTTGACAATGAGTTAAAACACTAGTTATATATTTAAAAACAGAATTCATCGTTGTAAAATTTATTCTTACAATTAGACTGAACTGAGTGTATTTATTCATCCTAGATACATGTATTGTATATCTCTTTTTAAATGTTTAAATATACAAAGAGATGGAGAGAGATAGAGAGAAATATAATAACCAAATTAATCAAAGAATAATTAAAAATTATGTTATATTTTTTGCTGTGCTATGCCGGTAATATCATTGTCATGAAGAAAAATTCTTCCAGAGAGAGCATTATACTCTTGACAGTTTTTATTATAATAAAAACGTTGTCAAGAAGCTTGTGGGGAGAATGTTAAGTTTATTTGGTCGTCGGATTTGTCTAAGAATTTTTTACGTGGCGACATTTTAACGAAGAAAAGTATGCTTCGCGGAAAAGACGTGCTGCTGCAGCTTTAATGTTACTTTTTCAACTACTTTAAATTCGTGTCAGCATTACCTTTCCTCATTAGAGCACGCGAGAAAAATACACGTGATTTACAGGATGATGTTAGAAAGACTTATGCGGCGTCAGTTGTGCAATTTCTGCATAAAATATCTCGCGCCGTATAACAACGTAGTGTATATATGAATCTGTGGGTGTGAATATGTAGATTTTTTCTTTCTCCCTCTCTGTCCAGAAATATTCATATCTAGTTTCTATTAATACAAATAATTATTTAATTTACAGATTCGATTTATACCGAACGGTTTATGGGTTTGCCAACCGTTGCTGATAATCTACAGGGTTACGAGCAGGGTCAGTTACTCAACAAGGTTGAAAATATTAAAAATAAGATGTACTATTTGATTCACGGAACTCTGGATGACAATGTGCACTATCAACAATCGCTTATGCTTGCGAAAGTGTTGGAACAGAAAGATATTCTCTTCAGACAACAGGTATATATGTCTTATTGGATTAATAATATATTAAGTTACAAATCAGATATGATTAAAAAAATATATATATATAAATAATTTATATATATTATAATAAAAAATACATATAATTTTTTGCTTTGCAGACTTACACGGACGAGGATCACGGTATCGCCCAATCACGAGCACATCTGTACCATTCGTTAGAAAACTTTCTGGACGAATGTTTTCAGACGTCATGATCGGAGCATAGAATAGTGATGACAATCTAGGACGCTGTACACCACCTGCCTCACACTTACCAGTTGTAAATAATCTAATTATGTGTACAGAGTTTATGTACGATATGTAATATGAGCGTTTTTAGAAAATGTGTACATAAGGGTGAAATTGTCGAGGAAGAGTGGGAGGATGAACGAGAGAGAGAAAAAGAGAGAGCGAAAAGAAAAAAATGCAAAAGAAAAGAGGTATATTAATTAGTAACCAGTAAACGCGAAAAAAGCTACCGCAAGGCAGGTCTGTGAGACAAACATGTTTGATACATTTTTTAAGATACCCGGTCAAACGGTGCATCAAAGGCCTAATAGCGGCGCGGATTCCGTCGCCTAGCTATTTCACACCCCCCACAAAGTGTTAGATATCGTATTGTTGCAGTTCGTACTTATTATTCGCGGCTATGTTTTATCTCAGCGTTTTTTCTTCGAATGTCTTTATTAATTATTATTAATGCGCGAACTGTTGTTTTCCGGATGGTCAAACGAATCGATTTAACATGATAAATTTTCCATTCTACGTAATTAAATTAAATTACAATTAAAAATAAAATAAATTAATAAATTAAATTATAAGTTCACAGTTTTAAATTAGTTTAATTGCGTTTTTATCTAGAATATCACGTCCTATATTTGTTCAATTCTTCTATCACGGTGTCTGGTACGACAATTAAATCACTTTAGAATGTTCACATATATGAGTTCAGTTGCTAACTTGAAACGAGACTTCTTAAAATGTTGAAAAATCTAATTTTATGAAATCAGATTTGATACCGCATAATAAAATAGAAAAAAAGATTCTTTTTATAAAAATCCGTAGTTTCTATAATATAGAAATTCTAAAAAAGATAGCTTCTATATTAAAATGCTTTTTTGAAAAAAGAATATTTGTAGAATATAGAAGAATATTTTTAATATTTCAATATTTAATGTATGTGTAATTTGAAATAAGTTATTATTCCACAAAATATGCAATATTCTTAAATTTAGTTTACAAGTTGATAATATATTAATTATTCTTTCCGTCACATAAATAATTTATATCAATATACTTGTAACGATAAAAAAATAAAAAATGAAAGTACGCTATCGTGTACATTGTCCGACAATAATATTACCGACGATATTCTGAAATAATTATTACGGCCTATTCAACGCAACATGTAAACTATTCATATTCAAAACGCATTTGTTAAGTATTTACAATGCAATACTTAAACTTTCGATAATAAATTGATAATCAATATTTAAACGCGCTCAGTAATTTTTTAATTTTTATGCAAAACTAAATTTTCTGAACTCATATATGTTATCTTAAGGCTCTGGAATACTCAGCAAAAAGTTAAGTAAAACTTTCATAAAAAAAGGAATAAATTAATATCGCTTACTCTGATATACAAATTAATTAATGATTAACGATTAATGATTGCTAGTGCTACATAATTATAGCGTTATGCTAATCGAAAGATAAAATAAGAAATATTGTACAAGCACAAATTTTTGCCAATTGAACTCTACAACATTCGCCGACAATGTAACCAATTAATGTATAATATAAAAATCAAACTTTTGCATAAAAAAGATGGGATTGCGCCACTTAATTTTTGAAATGTATTTAGAGAAGATTGTTCTTGAAGCGTTATATATTTTCACAGTATTGTTTTACGACTACTGTAACGTTATTAATATAACGTAATTCTGAAGAAAGTGCAACAACACAAAACACGATATAATCGATGAAAATTATATTCAAAATAGTAGTACCAAGTTTTTATATGTTTGCAGAATCTGAAAATATAAAAGTAATGTTTGTAACGATTTATGATATCTATAATGTCTATAATCAGATATGTAATTATAGATATTATTTTTAGTATGTCGATAAATCGTTGCACATTTTGAAAAGGAGGTATTTCATTATGAAAATATGTACAAAGACATTCCCAGAAGAAAATAACGTATAAATAAAGGTATATGATAATGTATACAGATGATTAAAATATATGTTTTTCATAAGACGTATGTATATTACATGCTGTCAAACATAATACTGAAAAGTGTGAGCATCATGTTTAAAATAACAGCATTTTGTAAAAAATTAATTCCAATATTTTAATATATAAATTATTAGGAGCGCGCTTTCACGCGAAACATATATAAATAATAAAATCCTATCTTTCGAGATCTTTTGGAATCTATCTTATCACACGGCAAAACGGTTTTGTTGTCAACATTATGGATATCTAGTGCTGTTAATATCTCAAATATATGTTGGAGTCTAATAAAATTATATATAAAGTTAAATAACTTGAAATAAATTTAAAATATTTTACTCTAGTTTTCTCTCTTGCTATAACTTGCTATACTTGTCTACTAAATTCAAGTTGAAAAATCGATTTAAACTTTTTTCAAAGGTAGATTAATTTAAGAGAGCAAGTTTTTTAAAAGTTTATGATGCGTGTTTAAAATTTACTTGAAGGAATAAGAATTCGTGTGTTTCATATTATATATCGAATTGTATCTTTTAATTGTAGATGTAAATTTTACTTTCCTATATTGTAATGTTTGTGCTGTGGGTATACCAGAGTATTAAGAAAGTGCAATTACAACACTTTATATATCATATATTTGTATTTCTATAGTTTATATAAAGTCTACTAAGTAACTATATATAAAAGTTAGGCAGCAATTAGTTTATCGACATATTTTCCTTAAAATGAGATATCATATCTATTTCTTATTATTATTAGATGGGCAAATATTAGTGCCAATGTGTAAATGCACACATAAGTAAGGAACTATCGACAAATTCTCTGACTATTAAAGTTTTTTAATACAAGGACCACTGTGTGTAACAATTTCAAGAGTGGATCAAGATGAATTTATTAAAATAATTGTTAACTTTTATCTTGACACACACGTGTTGTATATAGAAAATAACTTGAACACTTAAATAAGGTAACAGAGCATTGTTAGAAAGAAGATATTGTAACAATGACCCAGTAGAATTATAAAATTGAGGATGTACTCTCTTTCACCACTATTTGTTGAGTGTATTATAAATAAAGCTCTATGTTTTATTAAGAGATAAAGTGTTTATACCTTGAAAATTATCCTGTTATTAACTTTAGTATGCACAAATTATGAATACTTAATAATAAAACTTTACTAATAGAAATTAATATCGCACATTTTAATAAAAATGTACAAAATATAAGATATCGTAGAAAAAAATACAATATCATCAAGAGTTTTTCTTCGATATTATCTCGTATAGTATAAAAAAATTATAAAGAAAAGATAAAATCATGTATTGTTACAAATATATTTGTTACATATATTTTTATCGCAAATCATATATTTGTAACAATGTCTTTATATACAATGTATAATATATATAATAAAAATTTACCTTAAGAATTTTCAGTTTCTTTGTATCTGCAAATATAAAAGATTATTAATAAATATTGCATAGGTTATACAAAAACTTAATATATTTTTACTTTAATCCTTTTGTGGAGTATGCTAAATGTTTTGACAATTTCAGCTTGCCATCTGACCACAAAACATTAATGTAAAAATAAGAATAGATTCTATCAACAGTAATTTTGTTTTGCACAGATACATACTTGCATTTGGTACATGTGTAAAATACAGTTTGTCCTTCATCAGCAGATCTCAATTGTAATGTGGCATACGACATTTTATTGTTTTGACACTGAGGACATGGTCGTTCTACAATTGGTCCATCTGCCTCATCTTCACTATCATTGGCTTCTTTGGCGGATACATAAGTGTCTTTAGAATTAAAGTGAATCGTACATGTCATTTCCATATCCCCAAAGACTGAAACAAATAAAATCGAAAGCTGAATAAATGTTCACTAATGATAATTGATTATGATATAATTCTCCTTTTAATTACTCAATCTTGAACATGAAAGATCTCACATTAGCATAATAGTATAAAATAATAAAATCTTGAATAGCATTCCGCTAAAACTCTAAGTTGTCTTTTGTTCACACAGAGATTGTAAATACTTAATAAAACTTCACTATGGACTAATATCAAACATTTTAGTAAAACTGACACATTCTAACAAAATATATATAAATAAATAAATAAATATATATACATACATATATATATAATCAAGAATTTTCTATTATTTCAATGTATTATCTCGTGCAAACACTTACAAGGAATAAATGAAATAAAATCATATATGTTTGTATAACAATTATTTTGTGCAAAGTAACGCAAGTAATAAAAATTTTAAATAATTAGAGATTTTGATATCTTGTTTGAAACATACTTTCTGGATTCCATTTCCTTTTACATGCGTAACATGTAACCACTGTTTTCTTTCCGTCCAATAATGGCAGAATTGATCCGCAATCCGGACAGAATCCAGGTGCAGTGATAAAACAGCTGTTGCTCTTACGTTCCATTGTTAAATGCGTTTTTAATCACGCACATAATATAATAAACAATACAACTTACAACCTGCTTACAACCAGCAACACGTTACTCCGTTCCAGAATGAATGTATCACATTCAGTGCTGCCAAACTAAAAGATATAAAAATAACTAGACCACGTGACTAGAAAGAGCGCCATCTAGTTACTAAGCGAGGGAAAATTCAAATTATCAAAAATGAAAAGTTCATATATGAGACAAAAATTCTCTTGAAAATTAGAATTTTATTTAAAAAGTATGATCATTAAAGGATTAGGGTTAAATAAAATTTCACGATTGAAAGAGGAAACTCTCAATACAAATCGATTACTATCATAGGAATTAGAAATTTTTATAAACGCTGATTTTTTTATTGCATTATTATAATTTATTTCATATATATAAACATTTGATACAGTTTTAAAATTTTATTTGTAGAACTTATTTTTTTAGCAATGGTGTGTGTTAATAATAGCTAGATTTATATCCTATCGGATATAGTATATCAGAGAAAAATGGATGGAGTGATCAAGATTGAAAATTCGGTTTGGCATGAGATACTGTGTCGACTTCGTTACGTTTAGAAATGTGAAATAAAATTGTTTGTAGAGAAGAACGGAATATAAGACTCCCATCGTTCCATTTCGATATCATTGTCTAACGACTTAAAAGTCGAGTTAGCTCACGCACTTATTATCGCGCATTGACAGTCCTATTATAAGTGATTTTCATAATAAACTCGCATGTTTTTTCGCCTCTTCGCTAACCGGAAGATATTATCCGCAGAAAATAGAAATTAAAATTATACAGATACATCAAAATTGTTGAAAAAAATTTATGTAAAATTAAATTCCAAATTTGTCTATGTTTTACGCATAATTTTATAATAAAATATTAAATCAACACAAAATAAAGATAATAATATTTTTTAATATCCTCGGAATTGCTTTATCGAATTTTTTTCAGATCGCATTTTATGCACTTAAAACAGCGAATAGATCCGGAATTTTTCGAAGAAGCTAAAGAGCTTTTTCCCAGCAAAAATTACTCGATTCAAAGTGCAGACTTATTCACCATAGCAGCACGCTAAGTAAGATCGAGCTCTTTAATAATCGCGCTTCTCTTTTCCGCGGCAATCGCCAGAAAATAAGGTACGTATTTTTTTGTCGATCTATACGAATAGCTGCTTGAAAATCTGTACTGACTATGATCTTAATTATATACTCGTTATTATATAATATAAGATACCTTACTTCAAATATACAATGAATATACATATTTTATGCTTAAATCGTCAAAATATCCTCGCGATCGCACAATTCAACATGTATAAGTATAATATAAAGAAGACTTGCGTTGATGAATATATCTCGCGAGATTATATTTTATTATCCTTTCTTAAGAGTTATACATTTACACATTAACGCGCCGAGAGAAAACTTACAGTGATATAATTGATTAAGAGATTGTCGGTTAAATTAGCTTTAAAGCGAGAATATTATCACAATTTAAGCATACCGTTACTAATTCGCTTTTTTTATTAATGAATGGACTAGACTCGATTACTTATAATAATAATAGTAGCTTCTTAACATTTATATAAGGATATTGCAGAGAAACGATATCTTTCGCAAGCTATAACAGTAAGTCAGAAATATAGATATGCAAGATTTCGGTTCGAAACAGTCTACTATCAGCATGTCCTTATTTTTGCAATAATTTTCTTATTTTTCTGATTTTTTTTAATATCTCTGTTTGCGATTTGCTTCTTTTACAACTCTGAAAACATTTAAAATATCATATTTTGAAAATTATAACATATCTCAAAAAAGATAGGGAAGACGTTAATAAAGATAAAGTCAAATTAATTATTGAACAAGATGATAAAGAATTATTTCACATTTATAATTGATAAATTATTTGCAAAATTATGAGGTCATGTTTGATAGTAGCAGGTTTCTCAATATCATCTTGAGCTGCATTTAAATACAAAGTCAATCAAACTAGAATGGGATATTTAGATAATCGAAGATATCAGGATGCAAAAGATTATGTTTCGCAAAAAAGCGAAAGATTTTAAAATCTTGCTTTATCTCTATAGTAAAATAATGTAGATCCTGTACTCATATATTTTTAATATATTTTTATATATTTGTTAATTATTATTATGTAAACATTCATAAATCCGCAACAATCGAAGAATAAAATCATATACAGTTTGCGTATAAAAAGCCTTTGCCTAGTTTTTTTTTGCATCCAATACTTCGATTATGCTAAAATACACACATCTCGTGTAAGTATGTGAACATATAAAAAGTACTACGCGTTATTTAAGGATGAAACGTGTAGGAAACGGAATTCGCTTATTATCCTTAATGGGAGCGTCATTTTTTTTAAATACGCCCCTGATATACGTCTTACATATTATAGTTAATAAATAATGTAATGATTTTTTTTCGAAAAGTATGGAAGAGAATATCTAAATATATATCTATATACCGCTCTCTTTAACATTCCATTTTTACCATCTTGATATGCGATTGCAATTAGATATGCAATGTTATGCTTTTGTTAAAAGCGCATGAAAACAATAGGCTCTTTCAATATTATCTTAAAATAGGTCTTTTTTTCTTGTGCTCGTACAATATTCTTTTTCGCGCGAATTTTCCCTTTTTTTGCGTCGAAATGTGATTTCATATAAGAATTCTTGGAATTTCCTCGATTTTTCAAAGAGTGTGAGAATGCACTTAAAATTATTGGAAGGCCCATCTAGCATCGCTAAACACGAATTACATGTATACATATAAATAATATGTATAAATTAATTAAGTACAAAAATTACAAACTTATTAACAAAATATTGGCAAGACTGGGTTTTTAGCCGAATTAACAGGCTACAAACATTTGCGTTACTTTCGATTTTATATAACGAGATTCTTTATGCTTTTTTCGTAAGAGAAATAATTTAAAGATCACAAAGTTTTCTATCGTTCCCATTACAACAATTGATATTGAGTAAAGCGTGAAATTATATGTTCAACAAAATTATCAAATATTAGACAGATAAGTTTAATTTAAAATTCTCTTCAGAGATATTGACACATGTGTATATTATTTTTCTCTATTTTGTGTAATAATTATAAATATAATTTAAAAATAAAAGATAAAATAAGTTTTTTCCGACTTCAATAGTAATTTCCCTGAAGAAATTAATCGCAATTTATAATTTGATATGTTTCACAAAAATTTATTTACATTTTTAATGTGATATATTTATCGCTAAAAATGTGTAAACGCATGTGTGCGCAATATCCATAATATTTCAGTGTAATATAAGAAATATTATAAAAATCTTCAGAAAAAATTTAGAATAATCTTTTTTGTTAAATATCAATTATGTTTAATGTAGATAAATTTTTTTATCTTTACATAAACTGACGAATGCAAAAAACAGGAACTACTTTGTCTTTTTTTTTCTTTGCCTGTTAATTAATTATCGAGAATTCTTATTCACAAAATAAATATGTAGGAAGCCAAGAGTCGCACAGGAATTAATTTAAAACGTCGCAATGAGATACTAGAGTCTCGATTTTTATAAAAAAAATTGTCCTGTAAAGTGGAAAGTAGTTTTATTGTAAAAGGAAGAGAGCTTTATACTTTTACGCCTTTTTTGCAACGGAAATTTTACTTCGATGCATGTAACTGAGAGAAAGAGAGAGAGAGAGATCGCTGATACGTATATGTGGAATGTTAATAGCGTCTGTCTTTTTGTTTAAAACAAGACTATCGCTTTGTAATAATAATTTCGCTCGAGATGTTTTTAAAAGACCATCGCTTCTTATCGTATGCATTCTTAAAAAGTATGTTTTCTCGTCGAGAATCGACTCTTCTCATCAATCAGGAATATATATCTCCAACTTTTATTTTTCAAAGGATTCGCTGTCGTGTATTTCTATATTTATATAATATTCGTATCGCACGAATATATTGCTCGCATCTTTCACAATTACTCGACGAGTTTTTTTTAATATATCGTCATTTTATGTCAATAAATATTACACTCAAGTATGCCTTCTCTCTGTGAAGAACATTGTTTTAAATTACCTAACACATATCACAGAATTCATATATCCTCTTTTAGAAAAAAAATTATAAAAACGCAATAGCATGTGGGATACAAAAGCGCGTATTTAATACAGATAGAATTATACAAATAGACGCATTATTAATACAAACTAAAGCCGCTTATGTGTTGCGCTTGTGTCCTAGTCCGATCGAAATGACAAATTTTGTGCTCTCAAATATTTAAAAATAACGCTTGACGATTTTCTTTTTGGTTCAAAGGAATGTCGCTCATTAATCTTATTTCCCTAAGTATCCGGGCAGTGATCACTATCTTACACTATACATTTTTCAGTCCATTGCAGAATATAAAATTTAAAAAAATACGCATTTATTTATTATAATAAAGTAATTTCTTTAATTAAATTATAGAACGTAAAAATTAAATTCGATTATAGAACAATATTTATATCATATAAATTTATTCTTATTTTTTTGGAGCAAGTAAACCTTGCTTTTGTGCTTCTGACGTTTTTTATTTTATAATACAATAAAAATAGCTTTATGTTTATATAGCAGTATAGCAGAATATAATATATATGAATTTAAAAAATATATATATTCTCACATTATATAAGAAAAAAGCTACAACTTAAGAGAAACATATCTGGGTACTTATTTTTTGATAGCGAATCTTTTAAAAAAATTACAAAATTGATTTAAAATTCATTCTGCAATGAAGTGATATTGCTACTCGTCGAGCAACTGCTGCATTTTATAATCACAAATGAAATTGTAAGACACACGCGCTTTTGTGTGTGATCGCTGCCCCTTTACGTACACAAGATCGCGATCAGTGTACACGCAGACTCAAACTATGAATCCTGAAGAATATGTCCACTTAACGTATCGGTATCGGATAAATCAATGCAATGAAAGTTATGTAATAGTAGATTGATTATTACTTCTGTAGTGAGTATGTTACAGTACTAATAGAATACTCTTAATTCTTGTAATCGACATTACCTGTATGGTACAGTGACGCGTTTTGAAATCCGCTTCGGTGAAGATATCTTTTCGGAGACACCTGCAGAAATATATATAATTAGTATATAAACAATGCATTATTTTTATAAATTGTAAAAGATCTATATATATTGTATATATAATCTTTATATTTAAATTAAATTGAATTTTAATTAATAAAATAATAAATTTATTCTATTTTGATGAAAATTCAATTGAAATTCTTCCTCTTTATATTGTTTTTATATTAATGTCTCATTAATATTTTATTTCTTTCTAATTTAACTAAAATTCTATATTAATGTTGAGCAATTGAGCATTTCACTGAGAAAAAGCCATCCCCGACAGTAAGGTCTACTAGAAAGAAATTTATTTCTAATACAATCCGAAGACAGCATATATTTAAATTCATTTCTTCTATATTCGCAAGACAGTTCATTTTCTCAGCGAGTCACTCAATTCGCCTCGGTTCTATTTAGCGTTGGTCGAACAGCCGTAAACGTACCTTCATCACTGATATAAAGCGACGCCGAGGTTACAAAGGGACTATTGGTTGAGCAGGGTGTTAGTCACCTCAGAGATGGACAACAGAGGACTCCCGGCGTCCGGTTTGGAATCTGCGGTACAGGCGGGCCCATTCCCGCTGCCGCTGATGATCCCACCACGTGATGGTGGTGGTGGTGGTGGTGCGGAGGGTGGTATAAGACGTTGTTGCTGTTGTTGTTGGTGCTGTTGTCCCCCACGGTGCCCATGCCCATGCCTGTTCCCACCCCCGTCCCCGTTCCCGCAACTGACGGCGGCGTGCTGCAACCAAATGGACGGTCTCGCCGTTATCTTACGTGTACTAAATCCTCTTTTTCACTTTCTGATATATAGCGAGACTAAGAATCTGCATTTTAATATTACTGAGAAAGCTCGAAGGCTTTCTTAGTAACTTGGCTCGGTTACATAAAATTTGAAGTATCAGGTGATTGTAAAGCTCGATTTGATGTAATAAACCAAGTAGTAGTAGCTTGTAAATAAATATATGTGCGAAAATGCCATCAAATTATGCCTGATCTTACTTTTGAGGCATGCGTTTCTTAAAAAATAAAATTGAATTATAATGTAATTTTATAATTATTATATATGTTGATGAAATTGTTTGATAAATTTGAATGATTCATATAAACTTTTTAAATAATTATTAAAATTATATATAAAATGAATGCAGAAACAAATTATTGATTAATCATGAGCCACTCGTAACTACGGCATCTCCCATTCACGCTTAAGGTGACCAATTCTTCTAAAAGCGTTCAGAATTTTTTCCACATTTTTAATATTTAAAATATAAGCACAATCAACGTTGCAAGAAATCATTTTAATGTTAACAAAATTAAAAGATTTTATACATACATATATATTAATGCAATTCAAGAAAGATACGATTTTAAGAATAAAAAATTTTGCTTTTTGTTCCCTGCAACTGAATATAAAACTAAAATCAATTATAAACAGGATATGTGATCCTTTTCTTTCGAAGATATGGTCACCTTATCCTAAACGCGTCGATGGAAAATTATAATAAAATCTGTGAGGCAACAGTGACACTCACTGGGGCGTGTGCCTTGGTGGTGCGGGGTGGTGATAAGGATAGTACTGGTAGTGATGGTGGTGTTGCACTCCTTGCCATACCTCGGAGCCCGCTTCTCCGTGCCCGCCATGACCTGGATGAGAGTGCGTGTAACCAATGGTGTTGGCCACTGCGGCCGCCTGATACTGAGACGTGGTCACCGGATATTGTTGATGTTGTTGTTGCTGATGGTGATGTTGCTGCTGCTGCTGCTGAGATTGTTGCGTTTTGTTATTTCTCGGCGGACTCGGCGCGGTCACTTGTTGATCCGTAGGCGAGGTTTGCCGCCACTTGCAATCTCCATTCATGGAATTCATCTCCGCCAGCGATTTGAGCGGATCTCCAGTGGCATTGGTCGAATGTGTAGACGAATGAGTCGAGTGTGGCGTCGGCGGGCTGTAGCTGCCGTTGTTTCTAGGTGGTGTACGCGAAGGTGGGGCACCCCACATCAGCACGGTCTGTCGTGGAGCCTCGTTGCCGTATACTTCGGGCTTCACGTCCTCTATCTTGGGTGTCAGCATACCGTTCGCCGCACCACCGGTCACCGGTGAGCTGCCAGCGGAATTGCTGGACGACGCACCGCCTTCCAGAGAATGCCTGCTTCCGGCCCGCACAACGTTCATGTCGGTCGTTGCTGGATGCATCGTGGATGCGCTCGCCACCGGACTGGCAGCGTATGGCGAACCGCTGACGCTCCCAGGATGTCTCGTTTCCACGTAGCTATACTTGGGCGATTCGTTGCTGCTCAGTTGCTGGCAGTAGAGCTTCTCTTCTGTCTTGCTAGTCAGCTGATGAGTCTCGTAGGTGGGTAGCGATACGTCGATGAAGCCGTTGTACGCAGTGCCTGTGTGATACTCTGGATAGTACGAGCCCAGCGGCCTATATTGGAATAGATTCTCTGTCGCAGCCGTGAGGTACCTACGAGAAATAACGATATACAATTTTTGCGCTATTTTCTCTACGTTTCATATCGTAATTGATTCAGCAAATAGTGTTTCATAATCAACACTGTCTAAATTAATTAAATTTCTCCTAATGCTGCGTTACATTGCTTCGCCATACCTGTTGTCCAAAGCAGTCGCTGGATAGAGAGTCTGATGATAATTGCCCGTGTGGCCGATGTAAGTCGTCAAGGAAGGATCGGTACTAGCCGCAACCGCTGTGGGCGCATACGGCGTCGGATACATGGTGTTCAAATTGCTGTAGGCCGCCGCGACCGCGGCTGCTGCACTTGTGTCAGCCGCGAGATAATCCACGGAGGCGACTGTGGGAGTCACCGGTGGCGAGACCGACGACTGGGCGGAAAGTTTGCTGCGTTTGCTTCGGCAAGTCGAAAGAAAGTCTCGCAGATGCGTCTTGTATCGTCTGTTCCCTCTCTGAGACGCCGGCTGAGCCGGTAGCGTCGGTGTCATCACGGATCCCGTCAAACTGTCACTATCCGAGAAGTAGCTGTTGGTCAATCCGGCGTCCAAATAGCTCACTTTGAAGTCCATCGTACGCTTGCCGAGCAAATCTCGACCTTCCTCTTCCCTGAAATTACGAAATACGTCAATTGTAATTGTCGATTATTTCTTTCCTCAACATCTAAGGCGGAAATTTACATGAGAGGTCGATGTGTACTGAGTACAAAGTCCGGTTTCGAGTTTTTGTAGACCAATCTAGAGCTAGTCTGCAGCCACTGCCACCCACCATCCTTCGTTTGAAATCTGTAGGCTATCATACCTGATGCACCAGTTTTCAATACTGAAAAAAATAAGAATTAAATTAAAATCTCTCCAAAATATTTTCATTTGTCATTTGATTCCGACTTCAATGAGATAATATAATATAAGATATTGTGCTATAGCCAAATCAAATTAAGTTACATACTTATCAAGCTTGTATAAAATAATTGTTAAGCTTATCTGATCTATATTCTCGATTGGCAAAAATTATTTTCGTTGCACATAGCAGTCTCCCGCAAAATTCTAAAAATATAACTTACATTCCTGATGCGCGCTAGCGACGTAGGCCAAGTCATCGTAATGGACTAGATCGTAGCCACCGAGATTCGTCAGTTCCGCGTCGGAATATCCTAGGAGCATCTTTCCTCTCTGATCCATCGTCACAAGCGCGAGATCCAATTTGTGCTTGCTTTTGAACATGACTTCCTTCTGCGGCACCTCCAGGAGCGAAGGGGGTCCGAACGGTGTGCACAGGGCGAACAGGGCCAAGGGTGGCTCTTCCGTTTTCCGGTTCTGGCCATGAAGTACTTTGACTCGGCCCCTGATGTCGAGACGCTGCAATGAACAATTTGGGAATATAAAAAATTGCTTTAATTTCAAATGAATAATTTACAGAGAATTAATAGTCAAATGTATGTAATTTATACAAATGTATATAAAATTGTGATTGGTACCAAATGTATCAAATATTAATCGGTTAAATGAGTAAAAATTTTAATTGATTTATATTACAATATCACTTCGCATTTTATACACTTAAGTAATTCATAATTTATCCAGATAAATAAAATATCTGCTATTTTATAAATAACTATGAAAAAATGTGCAAATTAGCAACTTGCACACTGCTTCATCATCATATTATTTCGCTAATAAAAATGGTTTTTTAATTATGGCTTCCTCATAGAGAAAGAGCTTAACTTGTACATTGCTTGATCATAATTTAATTTCGTTCATTAAGAAAGTTTTTAAATTATGGCAATGTGTAAGTTAAGCTTTCTCTATGAGAAAACAACATTTTTAATTATCTCCCTTATCAGAACTCATTGAAAGAAAAAAACGATCGAAATACCCAGCAACGTAAGATAATAATCAAAAATATGAGTTTTTCGAATAAAGTAATCGTTTAAAAAAATTTATTAATTATTTTTGGCATCAGAACTCTTCGAAAGAACATTGTACATGCCAAAAACTACACGAAAACTGTTTAATAAAAGGCAGAACAATTTAATATAAATGTGAGCTTCCGCTTGCATCACGACAGTTTTTTTTATTAAACAATTCTCGTGTAGTTCTTGCCATGTACAATGTTCTTCCAAAAGTTCTGATAATTGAAATAATTCAAAAAATTTTTCAAGAATTATTTCATTCGAAAAACTCGCGTTTTCCAATATAAATGTGAACTTGTGGTTGTACATAATAGAAATTTAGGAATTCAAATTATGTACCTAAATAAAAATTCGAAAATTAAAATTACGTACATAATTATAAGAGTAAAGAGAGTAAAATTATGAAAGACACAATTTAAAAAAATATCTGAGTCTTAATAAAATTCCATGATAATTTCCGGATTCTGCAAAGTCAAACAAATCCCTAATTTTCCCGATTTTGCCAGAGGGAGTAGACATCCTGGATCTCTTTGAATAGTCTTCTGACAAAGATATGCTTATTGAAAAATCTTTCTCGCAGCATCATTAATAAACGCAGATGATAGGTCGAAACAGAATGTAGACGTCCGGTAAAAAGAGAAAAAAAGAAAGGAAAAGGTAGCTAGATCCACGTCGGTGTGTCCTATCGCGAAGGATGCCGCCAACGTTCCGGAGGCAGATCCTGAAGGAGAAGGCGGATGAATCTCTTGCGCCGTAAACCCTCTTTTACGATTACAGTTTCATTTTCATAAACGTCAAAGCGGCGCCGTTTTTGCCAAACTCCCGTGCTCGGGAGTTGTATCTGTTCAGGATCTGACTCTCCTCTCTCTCTTTATCTTGTTCCTGTCCTCTTTGCCAAGATAATACCATCGTACTCTCTCTCTCTCTCTTTTTCTTTCACTCTCTCTGACTATATCGCGCGGTGTGTTTGCCGTAAGATAATTAGTGTTTTGCCGCGTCTCTTCGTATCTCGGTCTCCCTCTGCTCCTTTCGCTCGATTTTTTTCTACCCTCCTCCTTCCCGGAGGGATGGAGAACCTGGTTTTGTTCGGGGTCTCCTTGATTTATACCTTTTCTTGAACGCCATCGGGACAACGGTACCGACACGATGGACAGCTCGGCCGTCCGGACGAATTATCGTTTCAATCTTTGCCGCGCTGTCACGGTTCATTGGCTGGAGCCTATTATTATACATGCTCAGCTTTTGCGCGGGAAATAATGTCGGGTCTACGGCCTAGATTTTAAGGCCGTTTTTACGTAAGCGCTGTAATTCTCGAAATTCCTCCGGAAATTTGTATGAGAAAATTTCGTCGCGATTGAAACTCCTATTTTTTTCTCACAGATGACACATTTTGTCATATAAATGACAGGTCATTGCGATATTCTCTAATTAATGCGTAAAAATAATTTATGTTTCATTTGACTTTATTTTATGATGAAATTTGTATGAGGAAATTTCGTCGCGATTGAAACTCCTATTTTTTTTCACACGGATGACACATTTCGTCATATAAATGACAGGTCATTGCGATATTCTCTAATTAATGCGTAAAAATAATTTATGATGTTTCATTTGACTTTATTTTATTTTAAATTAAATTGAATACTTATAAAACGTCGCTAGTGGTATTTAAAATAGGAACGATATATTTAATTCGATCCAAACTAGCCAAGAAATTTTTTTATTTTATTTCCACAACGTTTCGACCATTTGTTTTTGGTCCTTTTCAAGTAAAAAATTCCTTGATAAAAGCGCTTTTATCGTTTCTATTTATTTTATTTTTTTTATCTTCCTAATTTTTCGCAAAATTGAGAAAAAAATTGTTGACGGAAGGTCGACAACAACCTGACTTATCCTTTTCAATTCAGCTTCTAAGAGAACAAAGTCGAGAGGATAAGTAGAAGACAATCCGGAGGGAAAAATCGCAAAAGGAGAGGTGAACGACAAGATAAACGGAAAGAAAAGCAATTACACGAGAGCGGAGGAAACAGTGACGGAGAAGAATTCGTTCCTCTTCCCTTTACGACAGTGAAATTATTAATTACTGTTTTGTATGCCGGCGCATCTCTTTTGAAACCGTGAAGAGTCCATAAGGACTTGGTCCTTATCCAAAGGCTTCCTGGTACACATACGTTATTTGTTGTAATTACTTGGCGCACTCGTCGCACAGATCGTTTACGTTTTCACGAAAGAAAATGAAGTACCAAGAAGATATAATAAAATTAATTTCGATTACCCCGGAATACCTCTCGATTTTTAAAGCAAATGTACATATATTTTATAAATAAGTGAATTACAAATTACTTGGTCAATTATATTAGATTGTATTAATAAGTTATTGATCAATTATTAATTAATTAACAATTAAAATATTAATAAATTTATCGTATAATTTTTTAGTTAATTTAGAAAGCTAAGACAAATAAAATGTCGAAATGTCGACTTCAATCTCGATTAAATAGAAAGTTATTTAAATGTTAGAAATTGAAGTAATGAAGAAAGTATTGAGAAGAATTTGATTAACAAAAAGTTTAACCTTAATTAATTGAGAAGTTCTTTAGACCAGGACAAAAAATTTTGGAGAATCATGAGAAAAAAATATGGAGATATTTATATAAAATATATCGATAATATATTTACCAAAAGCAAGGAGCAAACAAAATTCCCCTCGTTTTGACAGGTGTTGCTTATGAATAATTTTTGGAAAAAATTTGCTCTTTTTGCTTGGAAATTATTTTAAGATACTGGAGTTGTTTCCTACTATTTTGTATCGTGGGAAATACAATAATACGCTTTGTGTAATTATCATAAGTTTCAACCTCAACATGATTATAACGTAAAAGCGCATTTTTTTTTAAACATCATTTCGATGAATGGAATACCTCCCGAGGCCCTCACATTTTTGTTACACACCTTGTATAATTTATATGTACATACCAGAAAACCGGATGTATTGTCCAAAAGACAACGGAAGCGAACCGTGAAGCTGCGCTCGAGCAGGTGACAATGTTGGGGCGAGAGTGCATCGTGCAACGGCAGACTTGCATTTTCAGCAGGCAGGAAAGAATTCCACATTAATTGCCGCTGCAATTCCTCCCGATCCTCGCTGTGCACCAGCTCGTAGACACTCTGATGGACGATGTCAGACTGAAACAAGAAAAAGAAAAAAATACATAAATCAATATTATGTATTCGAGATTCTTTGAGCTGTCAAAAATTGTATTACTTTTATTATTGAGAAAAATTCAATTCCTTAAAATTCCAATACTGTTGAGAGGAAAAATATCGAGGATTCGCTCTCGTTCGCCATACGAATTTTATTTTGTCCATACATAACTAACGCTCATTCGCAGTTTAGATGTCCTGGTTATAAAACGAGTTAATAACAGCGTTCGCTCGCGTTCCTTATTCTTACTTCGCGAGCACCTGACATTCGCGTTTATCCAATCTAGGAATTCGTGCATACATTCTGTCGTGTGTCACGAACGTGCGCAAACCAAGTCATTATTTACGATTAGCTCTCTTCGACTACCGTTTTCTTCGCGTCAGCCTCGGTCGTGCAATCTTACTTATGCCAACTTTATACAGAGGCCACAATGCGTACAAGAAGATTGCAATGAGCGATACTCTGAATTGTCTACACTTGAAGCATAAATCGGGATCAATATCAACAATATTTGCATTTATAAAATATATTTGAGCCACTTCATGCCAAAATGATTTAGAGTTAAATGATGAATAAAATGATCGCGAATTTTTAATCATCTATATTGCAGTACACTCAAAAAAGGGTTTTGCAACTATAGCAAAATTTTTTTAGGTGAAAAAAATTAACTAAAGTAGACAAATGATTAGCACATATTGCAATATCATATATATTTTGCACGTAATCAATTTAACTGACAGAGACAGAATTTACATCTGAGCTGTTTGTGAAATTTAGGAAGAAAACTTTTTTGTGGCATCTATCTTGACCTAACTGTATTAAGATCAAAGATATTTGTTAGAAAGTTTGGCTGTGATACACAGAAAAAATTAGCAGCGAGAGATAAATAAATATATAATCTTGACACTTAATATAATTTGTATAATGTACCTAATAATCTATGTAACTCGATTTGACAGTTCAACTGTCATGCGTGCAACTGTCATACGTGCAAGTCTGCTCCGATGCCGATTCAGTTTTGTAACTACAACTAAATTAATAACTAAATAAAAATAAATTAATTGTAATAGTAATAAAATATTTAATAATACACGGAGGAAATTTTACATTAAAAATTACGATCGTGTGTAATAGTTGCGGACTATCAGAACCAATTCTATATAAGTTAAAGTCGTACTATGTAAAACTGTAAAAATTTGTAAAGATAAGGCACGTTTATTTTATATATATAAATGATCGAAAACTTCTGGAATTCATAATATAAGTTTGTTCCCTTAAAATATTTACTTTTTGAATTCGTAAAATGTTTTTAAAAAATATTTCTCCTTTTCTGTTTTTCTAACAAAAAATATCTTGATGTAGATGATAAAAAATTTATTCTGATTTATTTTCGTAATGTGAATCAAAATTTTTAAAAATTCAAGTTTTAAATTAAATATTTTTAAAGTAAGAAGGTTGAATGCCAGCAAGATTAAACCAATGGATAAATATTTAAACGATCGACACGCTATTAGTGGTGATGTTAATTTATTTGTACAGCTACGTTTTGACCCTAAATTGGGTCCTCTTCAGGCTAATCAACACAAAAAATAATACAAACATGTAGAGTGCAACATAAAATCAGTGTGGTATGACCAAATTATACAGAAAATCATTAACAAAAAAATTTTTTTAAATTAATAAATAAAAGTAACCTGATGTTGAACGTCGATATTGATTAGCAAATATAATAAATATTTTTAATTTAATAAATGTATTTAATTTAAAGATTAATTTTAAATTAATGTTTTTATTTTTGAAAGAAAGATGCCTTGCTAATGCGATAACCAAAGAAATCGTATATTGCACCCGCGCCTTACTGAAAGAGGAGTCAAATTTTGTTTTTTAATTTTGATCTTCAATTTTTTAATAATTAATCATAGCCTGTTTCTAATTACTAGCTTTAACCTTCCTCTATCTCAACAGCAGAGTGGCGCAGTGGAAGCGTGCTGGGCCCATAACCCAGAGGTCCGTGGATCGAAACCACGCTCTGCTATATATATTTTTTGCTTTTTTAATATATGTGAAGATAGAGATATTTACTAGATATAATCACAGATATATTTTTTCAAAATATAATCTTGCAAAGATAATAATTATCGTTTCATGCTCTGCCAGCTATAGTCTACAAAACTATGTAAACTTTTCAATTCTGCAGTTTTTATAAACTTTCTACATACATTTACACAAAGATTTAAAAAAAATCACTTCGTGCCAATATAAAAAAAATTTATTAAGTTAGTTATTAATTTAGTTAGTTATTAATTTCCTTATCAAAATACAAAATTTGTCAACGGATCGAAAACCTTTCGTTTCTCTCTGACAAAATCTTTGTCCACAAAAATTATATACTCTTGTAATAATTGTCCATTTAATTAACGAACGCTTTATTATGTCAAATTATTTATATAATTTTTTAAAATCTTGACTTTATAGTCAAGGTGCTTCAAGCTAGAAAAAACATGAAAAATTGTTGGAGCATCGTGAAAACTCGAGAGTTTCGAACCCAAGATAGTATCATCGCAGGATCCCCGGGTGCTTCGCGACCGGACGATCGATGCCGCAACGGAATTACATAACAATTTCGAGTGGGAAAACATGAGGAAACGATCGATGCTCGTCGTCGTCGTCGTCATCGTCTCTTGTCGCGTAACTTCTCTCGCTTGTAACCAGCAACAGCAGCAACGCGCGGACTAAAACATGGAAGTCGTGAGATCGCGATATACACCTAGGCACGAACAAACACAAGCCGTACACATCCGAGAAAGAGTGAGAGAAAGATACACGTGGGCGAGTTGAAAACGTAGCTCGGAAGTCGTATCGTTCTCTCTAGCCCGGCGTGATTTATTATATTATTCGTCGAGCGCTCGCTCTCTCGACTGATAGCCATGAGACTAGCCAGGTAATGGTCGAGAGAAAGAGTCAATTCGATCTGTTCCCAAGAGGGAAAGAGTGTCGAGGGTTCAAAAAAATGCGAGCACCGAGGGCGGATGCGTGCATTCGCGAGACACAGATGATCGAATTAAAAGTCATGTGTCTACCATAGGCTGCTAGTTCGACCTGGTCGGGACCATCCTCTATTTTCTATGCCTGATCCAGTAATACTTGGATCCCTTTGAATATTTGTACTCTTTTTTATGTAAGAAATATTTTTGTAGTGTGATTTTTTTGTAGAAATCTTTTTTGAGATCATATCTTACGTATCTCTTCAAACTTTCATCATGTGTGACGAAACGTTTTCTCTTTGTCCACAATTACAATATAAATTTTATTTGATAAAAAACAATTTATAAAATTATATTTAATATATTAATTATACATTCAAAAATAAAAACTCTTACATATACTTCTTTTGCTCCGAAATTACTGAGATTAATACGGTGATAATTAAAGGGAGAACACAGCGCACTTTGAGATGCATTACGTTGGATATTTTTATATTGCAATTTTTCCACACGCAGGTGTGACAGGAATAAAATTGAATCAGCGTAACGTAAAAAAAATGGTATTTCTCTCTCGTGCGAGAACTCATCGCACTCTCGCTCCTCGTGGACTAGAGTCCGGATTAATTATGCGCGATAAAGTGCGTCGAACACGTGTAGGTACATGTGCCCTACGCTAGCTTACATCGACGTCACGGCCGATCAGATATTTTCTGACGTAATGCAACTCCGTTCGTACGTTTCTCTTCCTGTTTCTGCTTTCGTGTCATCCTCAATGCTCACTGTGTCTAATTTATGCATTTACTCGAGAAAAAAAATAAGAAAATAAAAATGTTTTTCTATATAGTGTTACTATAATTATCACGATACTTGAATAATTATGATTTAATTAATATGACAATATTATTATTGATTAATTCCCTGATTTTAAAGAGTGTTCTAATTTATTTAAAAATTGCACAATTTTTCCCTGAAACTTACATAAGATCTTGATTAAGATTAAAACATGAATAAAAAAAATCACACGAGATTTCAATAAAAACTTTGCAAAGATATTTTTATAGACATATGCTTCTTGAGTGTGTTAAATAATAATAAAGAGTTTCAATAAAATTCCATAAAAATTTTCAGATTTTTCGACGTACAAAATGGTCGATTTTTCCAAAGAGTAGACACCCTACTTAATCATGAATGATTTTTAAATATAACAAATTCTATTACACGGCTGACTTGTGCTCCGTGCGTACTACTTGATGTGCTTTTCGTAAATTAAAGTATCGATTGCACGTATAATAATAATAATAATAATAATAATTGCAAGAAATATTTGATACGGGCGCGCAGTTTCATCGTTTCCCGCCAATCGTAAAACTACGAATCTCAATAAATAAATGGGTGAACGGAGGAGGGATGTTCGAGATAAAACCCCCGCAGGTAAGCGGGAGAGATAAAAGTCCCAAGGTTCGCCGTGGGATCCAATGAATTCGAGCGCGCGAACCTGTGTTTCCCCTGTATATATCTTTTCCTTCGTCCTCTTCTTCTTTCTCTAGTCGCAATATTCCCGCTGCGCGATCGCGAGTGGCGCTCTAATTTTAATTAAGAATTATATACGATTTTCGTGATAATCACCGTCCGTACCTCAACCTTGGACGTAGAACAGACGTGTAATTGCTCGGCCGCAATTCTCCCTTCGTTTTCTGCCACGACATACATACGGCCGAATATATCGGGACAACACGACGAGAATAAACCCCGCTTGTAATTCTCATTGATGCACGACGCGGTCGATTATTTCTGCGCGTTGCTAAAACGACCCCGCTTATATAGTTGTTGCCTGGGAATTCTATCAGGGAGTTATTATAATCCTTTCATCTTTATCATTTCTTTTATTTTAATTCTAAATTGTTTTGCATAATTAATTTGTATTAAATTATTCTCATTTTGCTTATTTACTGAATTTTATTAGATCCATAATGGTATTCGAAATTTATATAATTAAT